TCTCCTCTCATTAATTTGCTGATGCCTAACTGCACTGACGCAGCTGTGAGATACCGGGGAGAGAGCTAGTTCTAAGCTTTAACAACATGTTCTATCTAAAGTGATGCAGAGTCTAACAAGACTACACAATTATTACACTTGAAAATCATGATCTCAGCTTTGCACAGTGGCAGTATCATAGCCAATGAGGTTTATCCGAGGCACAATTATTGCTAATTGAAAATCATGATCTCAGGTAGTTTCTCAAGCTAATTAAATACAATAAAATTATTGCTACTATTGAGAGAAAAATGGCTTTTAATATATGTCTTTAAAAATTATGACTAATGTTCCTCAAAGGATCTAAAAGCACAGTGTCTTTCCTATTGAATAATCAGCATTTTAATTTATTCTAATTTTCAAGCCACTCCCAGGTTAAGATAACTGTATATAAAGAAATGACAATCCAAGGTTCATACCCTTTGTTAATAAAAACAAAATCTGAATTATATTGAAATTACTTCTTAGAATCATTCAGAAAATTCTACCCAAAGAAACAGTCAAGAAAAGCATCCCAATCTCACAATATGCCTTAAACCCCACTACGAGAGTTAAACATAAGTATGCAAATGCTGTAGTATAAAGGATATATTAAGATTTTCTGTGAACTAGCAAGACTCCTGAGTAAATCAGGCATATGTAATGCTCATTTTGTTCAATGACTTCATATTTTTGTTTTTTTTTCATTAAAATATATTTCACCTTTTCCCCTTTTCAAATGAACAAGTTGTTTAAAATTAACATTAGATGTCTTAAATATCTAGAGTTCACTGTTAATTTTCTTAAGTACTAATATATTTCTCTTATAGTATGCAAATTGGCTTTTTCCTAGATTGAAGAAATGGTTAAGAATTCCATGAGTGAGCACTGCTGTTGAGAATCACAAGAGCAAAGCTAGTTTAAAATAGTTCCCTAACTAGACTGCCTTTCACAAACAATAATGATTTGCCATGATCAGTAAATACTGACAAGTGTCTATGATTGTCTTTGATTTTCTTGCCTTTAAAAGCATTCCTTAGTGATCACAACCACAGGCTTAGATAAATAGATAATTTGAAGGAAGGTAAGGATATATGGAACTTATCCAGGTAGTATTAAAGGCTTCATATATTAAAAATGTCCTGCTTTCATAATGAATACAAAATGTTACTTGTCCTAGGGTGCTTTGATTACATATATGTTTAAATGCTTTAAAAAACTTAAACATTCCATAACTTGACTAAAATATAGGCAATTCAACATCTCAATTAAAGCTTGTATAGACATTTCTCCAAATACGACATACATATAGCCAATAGCTATACGAAAATACGCTCAACATGACTAATCATGAGGGAAGTGCAAATCAAAAACACAATGAGATATCACCTCACAACTTTTTCAATGGCTATTATCAAACTACAAAAGGTAAGTGTTGGTGAGGATGTGGAGAAATTGGAACTCTTATACACTATTGGTAAAAATGTAAAATGGTGTAGCTACTATAGAGACCAGTACAGAGATTTCTGCAAATAATTAAAACTAAAACTACCATACAATCTAGGAATCCTACTTTGGGGTACACAACCAAAAGAACTGAAATCAGAATCTCAAGGAAAAAGCTGCACTGTATCTTAGTACTGCAGTATTACTCACAAAATAGCCAAGAGAGGGAAAGAACCTAAACATCCATCAAAAGATGAATAAAGAAATGTGGCGTATACATGTAACAAAATGCTATTCAGCTTTAAAAAAAGAATAAAATCCTGCCATATGTAATAGCATGGATGAACCTAGGGAACATTATGCTAAGTGAAATAAGCAAGTCATAGAAAGATGAATACTGCATAATTATGAAGCGTCTAAAATGTCAAGCTCATAGAAACAAAGTAGAATTGTGGTTGCTGGGGACTGAGGGAGGGTGAAGGGGGGAGTTGCTGTTCAATAGGGATAAAGCTTCAGTTATAGAACATGAGTAAGTTCTAAAGATCTGAGGTACAAAATTCTAGCTATAGTTAATAATGCTGTACTGTACACTAAAACATTTTTGAGAGGGTAGAGCTTATGTTAAATGTGCTTATATCCAAAAAATTATAATGTACAAACTTATACTGATTCTGTAATTATTCAAAATTATTTGGATGGGACTGAAGAGATTTTTTTAAGTCTCAATACAAAAACTTCAATAATTGATTTTTGTCCTCAATGGTCCTATGGTCCTCACATTCATAATGAGTCCTCCAAATGTGATCTCTCCATACGCAAATAAAAAATCATATAACCACTGGTTTTAAATCTGATAGGTTAAATTAATTTGAGTGCTTAAACTGTCACTGCTAATTGACCAAATAATAATGAAACATCATAAAATACTGTCTGTAGAAACATAATGATGTATAATAAAGACATTTGTATTATTATTAAATGCGTTAGCATCAAGATACTAATTATCTAAGATAAAATGTCCATGGAACATTCTTAGATTTCCTTTAATACATGGAGTTTTATATGCAATTGTACTATAACTTCATTCCTTTATAACTGAGGGATGCTCATTAGCATAA